ACTGTAAGAAGAGACCTCCTGCTCATGCATAGCCATCTTTCTGCAGCAGCCATCACTATGACAACAACCGTCAAGTAGGCGCAAACCTGACTTACACAATATGAAATCAGAATAAGTGTGCATGTCATACTGCTTTCCCTTAAATGTGCTAACTTATACGCAGCTAGAAGTGGCATACTTAATAGTCCTGTGCAAAAGTCCGTGAAGGCCAATCCAGCAAGAAGCACATGGGATGGAGTCCTTAGCGCCGGGTTTCTCCAAATTGCTGCCAAAACGAAAGCATTCCCTGTCGCTGTCATGGGAGCGAGAAGAAACGCAAAAACACTGTTCGTCAGAGTTGCCCAATAGTTAAATGAGATGCTGACATTTCTATAAGTATAAACATAGCACAACCTATCTAATGCGTCAGATGAATTGGACAGCATTTCTGTTTGCAGACTCGGGAGATTTGAAGCTCCCTGAGTGAAGGATAATTGGTACTACAAGCGTTTGGTTTTCCGAGTAAACTTTTTCATCAGGGCAACATTACCCTTTTGGAGTTTCATGAGTGACCTAGCTCACGCATCGTCTCTCGAAGTTTGATGAATCTTGTTTTGATTACATCTATTGAAGAATGGAAGAATTCAGTTTTTAATCTACGTATCCTGATGTCTTCTTTGTTCAATAGTCCATTTTACAGTTGTGAGCTTGGTTGCCAAGCCTTTGAACAGGAATGAGGCTGAGGTTGACCTTGGTATGATACGAACCTTGCTGCTTTTCAAATGCAAATTACTTTGTTTTCATGCTCACCTTCAGTCTCACTCCAAATCAAAGGCTTAACACAAGGAACAGTAATATGCAATGTAAAAAAAAAATCTCCAATTTGGTAATCTTTCACGAATTTAATGATACCCGACCGATGCCTTTTTCTCCTTAACTCCAAAGTCGCTTTGTCTCGATCGAAATCAATTAATTTCGTACATCAACAACATTCAACAGCTGTTTAGCTTGTTTTGCTGTTCGAAGCTGGATACAATTACTCTACCCGTCGTCCTGGAATCTCCAATTTATGGCTTTTATATTTTGAAATTGTTTCAGTCAAAAAAGTATACAAGTTCGTTTGTATTGATTCAGTCGCTTGTTAGTGTACCTGAAAGAAACATATATATAAATCCATGTGAAATAATTGGACGGGGTGAAACAACACATGTAATTGATTGTGAAGATAACTAAAAGGTTTTCCATGCCAGTCATCAGCTTGGAAACAATATGAAAAATAAACACCTCACAAAAAAAACCTCACAAAGTTTGGTGACTTAATGCGTAACTACCATTTAGACAAATTTTCATCAAAATCTGATAAATCTAAATAGACATTACCTTTTTAATTTATTGTGATTTTGATTTCTTTACAGGAACAAAGAACCAATTAAAGTAGGCTGCTTAATTGCTCAGTTGGTAGTGGCACCCATTACTATCTGGGAGGCGTGGGTTTAAATCCCATCAAAGCCTTAACTGTTTCAAGAGTCTTTCCTGAAATTTCTTAATTGTGAAGGATGATTAGTAATACAAGCGTTTGGTTTTCCGAGTAAACTTTTTCATTAGAGCAACATTACCCTTTTGGAGTTTAATGAGTGTCCCAGCTCACGCGTCGTCTCTCGCAGTTTGATGAATCTTGTTTCGATTACACCCAATGAGAAAAAAGCCACTGGAAGTATTCAGTTTTTAATCTACGTATCATGATGTCTTCTTCGTTCAATTAACACAAGGAACAGTTATATGCAATGTAAAAACAAATCTCCAATTTGGCAATCTTTCAAGATTTTACTGATGCCCGACCGATGCCTTCTTCTCCTCAACTCCAAAGTCGCTTTGTCTCGATCGAAATCAATCAATTTCGTTTATCAAAAACATTCAACAGCTGAGTAGGTTGTTTTGTTGTTCGAAGCTGGATACAATTACCCTACCCACCGTCCAGGAATCTCCAATTTATGACTTTGCAGGATCATCTTAAAGGGGCGAAATGTGTTCTTTTACGTTCTATTCTTTATTATTTTTATTTTTTAACAAAGAATCGGCAATAACATATTTTGAAATTGTTTCAGACAAAAAGGTAGACAAGTTTGTGTGTATCGATTTAGTAGCTTGTTAATGTACCCGAAAGAAACATATATATATATAATCACATGTGAAATAATTGGACGGGGTGAAAACAACACATGTAATTGATTTTGAAGATAGCTAAAAGGTTTTCCATGCCAGTCATCAGCTTCAACAACATGAAAAATAAACACGACAAAACCTCACAAAGTTTGGTGACTCAATTCGTAACTACCATTTAGACAAATTTTCATCAGAATCTGATAAATCTAAATATACATTACCTTTTTAATTTATTGTGATTTGATTTCTTTACAGGAACAAAGAACCAAATAAAGTAGGCTGCTTTATTGCTCAGTTGGTAGTGGCACCCATCAACTATCTGGGAGGCGTGGGTTAAAATCCCATCAAAGCCTTAACTGTTTCAAGAGTCTTTTCTGAAATTTCTTAACTTGCAGCTAACCTGCAAGGAATTTTTCTTTGTATGTATTTCATCTTCAGGTCAAAATATGATTATTTATTTTCACTTAATTTTCCATGTCCTTTTTCATATTTTTCAAAGGCCTAGTGTAACTTGAAATCATGTCCCTCAAATTTATTTTCTTTTGTCCTCTCATGAGGCTACAATTTCAGCTGAGGGGTGGGGGGAAGGGGTACTTAAGAGTGGCCTTTAAGGTGTTTAAACCTGAACCTGGTAAGAGAAAATCTTTTTATTTTGCGATCCAATTTAAAAGAGCATCTTTCTCAGATTGTAGCATATCTACCTCAAGTTGCCACCAAGAACATATTGAGACAAGAGGGCTCCTGATTGAGACATATTTTTTTTTTCAAATCAGAGTTTAAAAAGAAATGCCAGAATCTCAAGACATAGACCATGCACTGCAAACTTCATTACCTTTACAAGGCTTTTGGCCTAAAAATATGATCTGATCTTGAGACCAAATGGCGAAACGTTATCTCTCGTTGGAGACTTGTAAGACCCCTACGAACCATACCACGGACTTGAAAGAGGTCTATTGTTGTTTGATTTGCTTATTGAGCGCTTTCTTGTCGCTTTATCATCTGTTTTGCTCAAAGAATTAAGCCACGCTGATAAAAAAATTTTATCAAACCAGAGCTCAATCATTGAAATATAAACAATCATCGTAAGACTTACCCGTGGAGGTCAAACTTTTCCGAATCTATGGTTGCGGCGTCACGTTTTGTGTCCCGGAAATATTTTATACAAGCAATGGTGGATATTTTCTTCGTGTTTTAAGAGTCTCCTCTGAACAATTTGGCGCGGGGAAAGGTGTTGGAAGAATTCTTGTGAGATAAGCTATGTACACGAATAAAGTTCGTTCCATTATGTTCTAGAGATCGCTTATCGCACACGAGCTGATAATGGCCTAACCCTCCAAAGGGATCCCTGTAATTCGGAGGTCTGAGGTTTGGCTCAGATGTTTACTTCGACCTGCACTGGTGACAAAACAGACAGAAACTTTATTTAAATTAAAAATTCTCGTTAATTCGTTGAGTACAATTAAAAAGTTGCGTACTCGACTAGAGTTGGCCTTACCTCTCACGTTCATGTATAAGAGTGATGCTGTTTAGTGCATGACGGAGTATTTCGCCAAACGTTCCCTCAATAATGTGCGTTTTGTAAATCTCGAGACCAGACCAAATTTCGTCCTCTGTAAAAAAAGCAGGCGGTCTGGGACCAACTCATTCATCTCGCGCGCCTCAGTTGTAAACTTTATTGTGACGTCTCAATATAACATTACTTTTTCTCGCAGAACGAACAAGTTGGATGTATATTTATGCATAGTGGAAAGAGGCGCAGTTATATAAAATGGAGCAGTGACTTTGTTGTGTGGAGCCAGATGTAAAAAAATTGCTGAGCCGAGAGGTAAGGTTTTCTTTTTATTCTAAAAAAGGGTGAATTTCCTTTAACTTCCTTTCCGGTTACAGCCCGTCGAAAAGGCGATCTTGAGACTGTAAATCGAAAAACAGGTGTTGCCAAATTACTTCAATTTTGCAGCTCTGCACATATCTTGTGATATTCTGACATTGACATTGACTCATACAACCTCAAGAACAAGAATGTCTTCACCGATGAATCGACGATTTCGCAAATTTTTGTTTCAGTTCCAGAAAGCAAACGTCTTTGTTGCCATAGTAAACTGAATGCATCTTGTACCAATTTCGTTTATCTGCGCAGGCAACAACCGTTACCGCGAAGTCCTTAACTACACACGTTCGTCTTATTTAAAACAGCTTGAGTTTTAGCTAGTTTTCTTGGAAATACAGGTTGGACCGTAAACGTTCACGGACAATTCTCTAGAAGACTTCGAAGCGTTTTTAGCCGTTCGGAGAACGCAGAAACAAATAACATCACAGTTTTTAAGTATAGCAATTATCAGCACAGGTGAGCTGCTTGTTAAGCAAATGCAGTAAAGAAGCCCGCGAAAAATTCAAGGATTTGATCTCGAGCCTCCAAGATACGATTCGGTCACTATTACCAACTGAGCTACAAAGCCACATCTTAGGAGCGGGACACATTTTGAAGATTCTTCTTTCCTGTGGAGGAATCTTTTCATAATCCTTTTAATCTTTTTCATTTGATTGCATTAAAAATTATAATTACAGTTTTTGATAAGAGCATGGAACGCATAACGCGTGAAAGTAGCGTGATCTTCCATAACATCGAATTGAAATGTCTTCTTCATGTTTAAACACGAAAGTCGACTTTCTTGTAAAATATAGGTAAATGACCTGATGTAAGAAGTTTTACCAACTAAAACTCAAATGCATATAGAAAAGTAAAAGAGTAAAATTTGCGCTTAATAGGCGACCAATCAGGATATTTCTTTCAGACAATTTTCCTGTCAAAAATTTTGCTATTCCACGGTAAAAAGAATCACATTCTGTTACGGTATAATCTAACCGACAGAAAAACACTACAATCCCACTCTCACCAATAGCGTAGCTCCACTTTCTGCATATAAACCCACACACAACCCACAATTCCTCCAATCACTCTGACGAAGGGCAAACGCTCGGAACATCAGCTTTTTTACTCTTGACGGTGGCCAATTGACGTTTTCAACTCAGTTGTTAACGCTAAATTACCTTCTTTATTAAACAGCGAGTAATGTTCTTAACAATGAGCGACTTCTAAAAGCAGTATAATACTTATCGTTAATAAACTTACTTAAGCACAGCTCAGTCTATATCCTAGCTCACCACTGACACAATCTCACTGCAGACTCCAAAGTTCCTTGAAATAAGCAATCTTCCACAGTAACTCTCTCTCGTCGCACCGACAACAAAAACTTCTCCCACTACCACATAAGTGAGTCTTTATATAAATTCACAAAGTGTTTTCGAACATTCCAGAAGCTTACATAAGAACTGTTTTAGTATTATTACATAACAAATGACTTAATGAAATGTTCTGGAAAGTTCTACGGTATGCAAGTCAGCATGACTCAGCAGTCTGGAGATTTCTAGAAGCAACAACAATTACCCTTAACACACTCCAACAGTAGAACCCAACGTAAATTTTTCCAAAAATTATAGCGGAGCTCGCAGAGCGAAGCCCCATAATTATACAAAATAGTACTAAACTATCAAGCCGAAAAAATTTGGACTTAAGAAAGAGATGCTAATTTTAACATGCGTGGTCAACTGTACCGCGGGCACACCAACGCCACGGCTTTGTCCAGTAGTCTAGTGGTCAGTGCACTGAGCTCCGAGTCGGACGACCCGGGTTCCAGTCCTAGCCGGGACAAGGCGTTGTGCCCTTAAGACGTGCGGGGGAAAAAAATGCGAGCTCCGCTTTTTAGGCTTGGCTAAATCTATATATTGCACTTACTCATGTCTCATTTTAAAACAAATGAAAGTTGATAACTGCAACTTCTAACTACTTCAATTGCCAACGGGACAGATTTCATTTACCATTTTTAAATCGCTCAAAAGCCTCGATATCATCTTCTTTTCGACGTTTTTGTCGGTGCTTACTGCGCATCACTGGTTGAACACCTAACGTGAATCCAAGTTTTTTTGGAGCCATCGAAGAGATGAGTTATTTGGTCTTTGCCAGCATGAATTGGACCTCCGCAGACCTTGCACTTGGTGTTGAATTTTGCAGTAGTTCCTGTGGTAGCTGGCTTTTTATCAGCGGCTTGCTTGATTTCTCTTGAGGTCTGGCTCAAGGGGCTAAATGATGAAAGAGACGATGGAAATTTTCCAAGGTAAGGTGGCGTTTGCGGAGGAGATAAAGGAGTGATGCCTTCAGGGTACTTTCTTTTTTGCGTCGGGCTCTGATAGATCTTTGAGTCCAAGATATCCTGGCCGTCCTGTTTGACGTTTTCTGGATGTTTCCTTTTGCCGCCCGGACTTTCAAAAATGGCTTCCAAGCCACACTTTACCTTCAGAGGGGAACCACCAGAGATCTGTTGGGAGTCTCTGGCCTCTGCAGCAATCACAGCCATTTCTTGACGGTGGTCTTCGGCCAATTCGTGAGATGATAGATCTCTATTTGGAGCAAGGACATAGCTCGTGTCTTCTTGCTCCTTCTGGTGATTTTTGATATTCAGATTTTTGTTTGAGATACTAAAATCCTCTGAACATCTTGCAGCGCTGAAGGAGGATGATGTTCCTGAAGAACATTCCCCTAATACCCTTTGTTGATCTTCGCAGTGAGCCTCTAGTACTGACCTTACAGTGGCCTCTTTCATGTCATCAGAGGGCAGGAGAGAAACCGCATTCTCGACACCATCTCCACGATCTGGGGCAATTTGGGCGTTGGTCTTCACCCCATCAAGCTTATTAAGCTGATTTCGGTTTCTCAGAGCTTTCACCATGTCTTCTTTCAATTTAGTCTTACGCGGTACAGGAAGTGACGTAACGGCACGTGACAAGGAAATGTGCTTGTAAACCAATACAACTTGCCGCACGCCACGGGTGATCGCCGTGTACACATGCTGCCAGTTCTGGTAAAACGGATTTCCCACCACATAGACAATTGTGTCACACTCTGAGCCCTAAGAAAAAATGTGGCACAGCATTAGACTGAGTCTCAAGACAGAATCCATACAAAACATGGATCAATGTCAGTATCAGAGCAACCAGGCATCTACCCCTCCCCCAACCCAACATAAACCCAAGCCAGGAGCCCTTACTTGTAAAGGGCTACTGCCCTAACTTGTTATCAGATGACTGCTGTTGAGTCAGGGGAGGGGTAGGTACACAGTTGCTTAGATACCGACATTGATCCCAAAACATTGACTCTTTAACCCTTTAACTCCCAGAGGTGATTAACAAGTAACCTCTCCTGACAATATCCATGCACTATCCAGTAAACAGGTAATGAGAATACTCAAATGTATCAGGTAGTTGTTATCTTGATCTAACACCAAATTCTCGCAACTTATTTACAAGGAAATGTGTAGCAGTAAGAAGGGAGAATAAAGAATCAGATCTTGGGAGTTAATAGTTAACCTCTCTAAACCTGTATAATTTTCAATCCTTTACATTTACATGTGAGAATTTAATTGGGCATGTCAAACAAGCAAATCTACTCTCCCCCTATGGTCATCACAAGAGAAGGGTTGGATTTCGTTTTATGCAAGAACTGGAGTAACCTAGTCAACACCTGGAAAAGAGGTAAACATCAGAAGAAGAGGCTCAGCAATATTGCTAAAATTGGTGTTTGTTTTGCATCTGATTGGTTGATATTCCCCCTATGGTCATCACAAGAGAAGGGTTGGATTTCTTTTTATGCAAGAACTGGAGTAACTGTAGTCAACACCTGGAAAAGAGGTAAACATCAGAAGAAGAGACTGAGCAATGTTTTCATACTGATCAAGACACAGCATGTTACGCCTTACACAAACTTTGTCTCCAATTTCAAATTTCAGTTTCCCACGGTGGTCTTTGATGCAGTGTTTGTTGTAATGGAGAGCACATAGTTCATTAATGTTGTCACAGTCTTTTCGTCGCAATGTAACAAATTGAGAGTCTTCAGGTTTGGGCAGGATAAAAGGGTTTGCCTCATTTTTCAGTATGTCTTTAATAATTTCAGTGACAGTGATACTCTCACCGTCGACATTAGAATTGTATTCAACTGAGAAGAAACCTCTTTCTGAATCAAAAAATGGCATCTGCTGCATTGATATTTTTCCAGCATTTTGAACAATAAGCTCTGAATCTGATCGGTGGTTGGTTTGCAGAGTGATGCAGAAGCCATTTTTCTCCAATGTGTGGAAGATATCACCCAGAAAATTCCCAGGCTCAATGGATGGAAGTTGGTTTACATCCCCCAAGAGAATCACTTGTTTAAGATGGGCATACTGACGCAAAATGCTGATCAGCTTGTAGAACACCCTCACCGACACCAGACTACATTCATCGCACACTAGAAGATGAACTTTGCTGAATTTCCAATCATTGACATTTCCAACCTGATTCTTCCAGTGGAGAAATGTGAAGATGACTGAGTGCAGTGTGTGTGCAGGAATCCCAATTCTTTTCCCTAGGATGGAGGCAGCCTTGCCAGTTGGTGCAGTTAGCAAAACTTCTTCATTTACCTCTTTAAGTTTCTTGTCAACATTATGAGATGAAGTTTCATCTTCTTTACTGCCTGGATCAGTTTCAGTGATTTCATAATCATCAGGGTAATCCCGAATGATTGCATGCTTATCTTGCCCTTCAGAGGTGTCCATATTTGTTTCAAATGAATTTACAGGGTTCTCTTGGTGGAAATTTTCCATTTTTTCCTCTAGTACCTTTTTCAAGATTTCTGACACAACAAATGTCTTACCACAGCCACCCCTACCTGAGAGCACAGCAACTGGCTTTGTTGATATGAGTTGGGCTGCATGAATTTGGTCTATATCACCATTAAATACCTGTAATAAATAAAGTATAGGAAACAGTACAATACGGTTAAACCTCAGTGCTTCTCTAGTCTTCTCTGCACCATTTCAATACATTAGACATTTCTGGGATGAAATTGTGAACTGTGCACGAGAGATATAACTTTAACTATACTATATGAATCATGTACCTTCCTGGTCAATAGTGGAAAGTGATTACATAGATGATTATATAGATATGCTCAGGAATTTGGATGGGGAGGGGGGGGGGGGTTTGACACCCCTCTACAAAATTTACTTGCATGTCCCCTACCCCCAACTACACAATCATCATACATCATACATACATTTTTGAGTTGCATAGTTCTTTTGGTTACATGTACATGTACTGTAACTTGACCCTCTCCCTGTCAGGTTCTCAAAATTAATTTTCCTTGCTGTCTTTAATGCATTTCTTGTATCGTTCTCTTTTGATAATTTGGAGTTAAAATCAAAACACATCCCCAAGTAGATATTTTTATCTTTTTTCTCAGCACCCTTCTGCTTAACAAACCTGTTATATTGTGCAGTGGGAAAGACTTATGGGCCACCTGATGTGTGGAAAGGTGTTAAAACTACAGTAAAATTCCAAAAATAAGCCCTGGGACTTATATTTTTCAAAGGGCCTTTTTGAGGGGCTTATTTTTGGAAGGGGCTTATATTTCGGAAGGGCTCATTATAGGAGGGAAAATTGCATTCCAAAATTGGCTGGGCTTATAATTGAAGGGAAATTTGTGTCAAAATTTTTGAATGTGCAACTGGTAATATTAGGGTTTTGGCTAGAAATTCGCAACAAATTAATCACACTGAAAATGCCAAGTTCAAACACAACAGCAATAAACTTTATCAGAACAGAAATTCAGTAAAAATGGTAATGTAGTTCAGGCTCAGTTTCATCCAGGAACCTCTGCCACAGATTTTCCCATGCTCAAAGATGGAACATTACATTCTATCACCACAAAGATAATAGGTGAAAAGTGAGGAGCACCAGAAGGAATTTGGGTTCAGGGTGGTGGGATTGAACTTCCTTGCAAATACTTTGTCTATGGACCAAAGGAATTCAAGGTGTGAGTGAAGAGCGAACTGCATAAAAGACAATAAACTTCAACACTAGTTGACCACATTGCTTAACAAGCCCTCGGGGGCTTATATTTGGAGGGGCATATTATAGGAGGTATTTTTGCGTTTCAGTTTTGGGGGGCTTCTATATGGAGGGGCTTATACACAGAGGGGCTTATTTTCAGAATTTTACAGTACTTTTAGAAGATATGTTGCACAATCAGAACCTACTTTCTCATCAATCTCCACATTACTTGTCCAAGGTTTTTCATCCATGACTGCAACAACATTTCTTGCAATTCCTTCTTCATAACGACGAACATGTGTCAAAAAGACATGCCGATTGTCACCCAGATGGTCTTCAGAAGTCCCTACAACATCAATTTCTCTCAAATAGTCAAGACTTTTTTTCCAGTTTCTGACTCCATTTAGCTCCTTTGTCAGCATCTTGAATTCTACATAAGTATGGCCATACTTACGAAGCAATCGTGAAAGGGCATTATATATGTGCAATGCATCTTGCTTGGCAATTGGCATTTGGTCAAGTAGATTGCAGTCTTCAAATGATTTCAGCTTTACCTCACAGCTTGAGAGATTAAATCTTTGTTTGAGAACACTCCAATAACCAAAAACCCAGGGTTCTTTATTTAAGGCCTCATTAAGCTCTTCCAGCTCTTCCTTAGAAGATTCCTCAAAGATTGAACAAACACGACGAGGAAACAGCTGATGAGCATACTTGGTAAACAAAGGAACAGCGAAGGCTTTACCAGTTGCTATTAAGATGAAAAAGTGAAAAAAAAAAATAATAATAACATGTAACAGTTGAACCATGAAACATTGGCACAATAAAAATTATAGTGGATGGTGGATTATTAAGCTGAAATATTGAAATGCTTCTGTCCCAACAGGTCCATGGCTAGTTTCTAAAAATGTAAATTTGCTGGTCAAAATTGAGCAGTTATTGAATGATATGGTTGAATACTTTGTTTTAAAGCCAAATGGAGCCTCTAAACCCATCCAGTCCAGACAAATATATCAGACGTCTAAACACTAGTGAACAGAATAATATAGAAAAAGACAGTGTGGGTAATAAACAGTTTGTGAAATTATATATTTCATAGTGCAAATTATACTAGGTCTCTCTTGTTTAACCATTTCACTTCCATGAGTGACCAGACAGAATTTCTCTTACAATATATAAAAAATATAAAGCAGACAAGTGATAAGAATGAGGAAAAATATCACAATGTGGTCCACTACCAAACTCCCCAAACTAACATTATTTGTATGGCAGACAGTAAGGAGAACTATTAATGAGAACTTGGGAGTGAAAGGGATAAATATATAAACACAATTAGCATAGAACATACTTAAACTTACGCTTACGGTCCAGCGCTGCTGTAATCTGCTCAGCAATGTCGTGACCCTCTTTGTCGGTTTCAGCAAATTTCTCCAAGTTTTTAACCAGATCCTCAAATGTGGGTTTCAAATTTTTTCTCTCAAGAAACTCCAGCAATATCGTGACGTGTTGATCATTCACTTCACAACCTGTGGTGAGGAACTGCGACAGCAAGCTTTTATTCACATCGTCATCCGTTCGAATACTGTACGAAGGCAGTGAAGTAGCGTGCTTAAAGCTCGTCGAAGATTTCGACGCGTCCAATTTGAATTCCACTCTCCACCAAGGATGAGAAAAACGCTCATCAAATTTACCACGCACTCGGATTATGTCCTGTTTAAGACGAAATCGATCGTTTCTAAATTCCATTTCTTGCATTTTCTTCGCACCATTGCGAAGTTTACGCGATGGCTTGAGAACGAAATCAAAATCTTGATCAGCGTCTTCGAAGCCTTCATCCTCGCTTCCACTTTCTAAATCCGAATCTTCCTTCTCTTTGTCGCTGTCTTTTCCCTCAACAAAAACGTAAGAAGAAGTCATAGCACGACCGATTTCAGTCTCAAAGCGAAGTTATAACCTCCTAAAGTATCTACAAGTCAACAAGCGACCGTATGTAACTGACGCGGCTAGTGAACATGCGCTAGGAAGATTCCCGCGCGAGCAATGTAATGCGCTCTTAACATGACGCTCTCTATGTTTGTACTTGGGGGTATACAGTGGGTAACATACATTGTTTGATCAAAAGATTATCAGTAAATCGCCATTTTTACTAAAGTTGGTTTTATTTATGATTAATTTACTATAAAGTGAAGATTTCAATCGAAATTTTCTCTCTTTCTTATATTTTTAAACCCGGAAAAATGTTATTTTTGTTCCAATTCTATACTTATCTCACCCCTAGACGTATCATTTTCGTCACAATAGTATGCGAACGAATTTTAATACATACTATGACGTCAACAATTGCTAATTAACCTCCTTACTGAGTTCATGATTAAACTGCGTAGTTTACTAATGAGTACAGGTCTCGACGAGAATCAATTATCCAGAAATTACGTTTGGTTGTTGAGGTATTATGTACACCGAAACTTGACAATTTAAGTCAAGATTGATCCAGCTGCGAACCTTTTAGAACCCGACAACTGCTAAAAATTTCCGCGGCACGCGTTGGAGAGATCGGTTTTCTCGCAACCAAGTCGTCCCATCGCGAAACATCAGCAAGATGCAGCGACGATTTATCATTCCCCTGTTGATTTTGGTGTTAATCACGGAAGGCGAGGCATGGAGAAGAAGACGGAGGAGGCGATGGACACCACCCTCGCCTCAAAACTGCGTTGTCTCCGGTGAGTAAAACGAAAGAAAACATACGTGCTTAATTTATGCCCGTCATCATATTATCAGTGGTTTGATCCATGTTCTTTGAGAAATACTTCCTTTATCTAACGACCGCTTTAAACCGTTCAGGCTACTTCTATCGACAAAGCGATCATAAACCACTTAACTTAAGAGTTTAATAGTTTTTAAAACTTGTTTTAAACTCTATCAAAATGTTTTGCTGTACAACTCTTTTAAGTTTAAATTTTTCCTAATCGATGCAACGTGAAGTTAGACGAGTTTGAAAAGTTCAAACAAAATTTTGGGATTCTCTGAGTACATTTCTTGTTAAAGCTTTTGGAAGCTGGCGCGACTTGTAACGGCTTGCAAGAGCAGATTCTTCCTTGTATAAGTTTTTGGACTAAAATCAACGTAACCGTACGGATGATTGCAATTCTTCTTCCTGTCGGCATATCATTCGTCACGGAAGGTTTTTTTTGGGGATCTTCCTCTCTGGCTAAGCGGAACATTTAGTTATTCTCTAAGGTCCAATTTCGTTCTATTTGACGGCGCTGGTCGTTATGTCATGTTATTTATCATCAGTTAGCCGCTTAGTTTAATGAGGTTTGTCAAATGCTTTTTAAAAATATTTACAGTTGGAAAAACTGGTTGGTTTGGGAAGGTTTTGAGGGAGTATGCGTGCTCTGATTGGCCATAACTCTAACCTAGTACCTAACTCTTTTTCACTGATGAAACTATTAAATGTGGAGACCCTTGACAGATTTTGGTGGCATCAATCGATGTGAAGGGAATTGGTAAAGAATTGACGAGACCTTTCTGGTTACTAAAATAAATTTAACATTCTTGTGCAGGTAATGAGCTGTTACTTCTCTCTCATTTGAGGGAAAAGTGTAACTTGTGGTTTTAAATTTGTTGCAATTTGTCACACAAGCTAGAGCTTTACTTCCCTGTACCCTGTTGAAGTGTCAACCTTTGCTACGGTGGACACGGAGCAAAAGCCATAGTTGTATATTTGCATACTGAATGACCCGTCACTTGAAAGTGACAATGCAGAATGCTCATTTATTTTTGGTAATTACACTGTTGTTTTTGTTTTTTGATTAATATATAATTACTCTCTGAAATGCAAGAAAAGCAACAAGACACATACGTTGCTTACAATAATTTTAGCCTCCACATAGCAAGTTGAAAATTAGATACCTGACAATAGAGCTTGCATGACAACACAAACTCTTTGGAGTGTTTTTGTTTTCATTAGCTAATAATAGCAAATGAAGTAATTAACAAGAACTTTTTTAGTGCTCTTACCAGTATTTGGATTTCATTTTTAAGAGCATATATTTGTGTTTCCTTGTAAATGACAAAGAATTTTCCTTAAATTTGCAATATTTTTATAGATCTCAGGATTTAATCTTTATTATTCTTTGTTCTTTCCCTAGTAAATATATGTATGACGTCTGTACAGAACTAAGATCTTCATTGTGGTTTGAAACAATATAGCTTGTTTTGATGAGGCTGTCAAAACAGGTCAATATTGTTTTGTACAACTTCAAATGGATTACTGAAATATAAATTTTTGCTCACTCTCATTAACATGCCATAAATGTATAAAAGAAAAATGTAAAAGTAAATTATCTTGAATGCATAAGGAAATCAAGTAAATTTGATGTTTTGTTTACATTAAGCAATAAGCAGTTATGTAATGTTGCACACGTCATCGTGTGTGGGCGTAAAATATTGCATTTTCTCATCACAGCATCATTGCAAATATACCACACTTAAAAAGAAATAAGTTATAATGATAGTCAATCTTCTTTGAAGAATAGCTAAAAAAATGAATCATCCATTTTAAAAGGTAGATAAATAACACTAATTTATATATTAATCGTTGTGTCACATTCATTGTGTGTTATTTTTGGAGGGGTTGTTTTATGTTGAATAACAACTCAGAAGTTGTCAATTTTCTTACAATTTACAGACCTTGGTTTAATGCAATTATTTACCCTTTGACTGGTCTACAAATTTTTACAAATCTATAAAGATGTCCAAGTTGTAGCTTTTGTTTCATTTATAGCAGCAAGCTATTACAAATGTTGAACAAGAGGCATACAGGAAACTCCTTTGTTTTTGTGGACAATGAAAGCAATGAAGTGTAAGAATTTAAAAGAACCTTGTTTTGTTTCAATGGAATGATTTGCTAATTAGATCATGGCCTAATAGGCATCAAGTTATATATTCTATGCAGTTAGCAGCTTAAACTCTTTTCCCATGTTGAGTAAAAATTTGAAGAACCAATTATTTCTACAAACATGCTCATGGGTGTACATGTTCAGAAGAAAAATAGAATTCTTGTAAGTTTGGTTTCATTTAAATCTTTTACAAATATTTTCAGAGGAAAAAAATTGAACAGATCAGAATTTAAATAGTAGTATTTTTAGAGCCTCTGTATGTGTCAGATGTTGTAATTTTAATGCAGCCAAAAGTTTTTTTTAATGTTATTAATTGTGTAGGCATATTATGCTTTAAACAAATAAGAAAGTTAAAATGAAATTTTTAGCGCTTCTCAATTCTGCTCTGCTAGTGGTTTTTCATCATTCAATCTTAATAATCTGTGATTATTATATTTGCTTGAGGGAGCCCATCTTTTTAAAAAGCCCTTTGCTTTCTCATGAGCCTCCTCACCATCTTTAGCCCAAGTCCTTTTATTTGGTAGCACTCTTGTAACTTGACAATCAAATTTATGGCAAAGAAGAATGAAGCATGATCATAAAGCAAGGAAAGTAAAGAAAGTGTTTTCCTCATGCTGGTTGCTATTGTTTTAAAGTTTTAATTCGTCATGAATTTCAATTTGTGAAATTTTTAAAGAAATAAGTTAAGATTTCTACTTTCAAATTTTCTGTTTGATTAGCAGCACTAGTGAACCTTTGCATCTTCCTCATACACTTTGATGTATTGCATTTTAGCATTACTGTAAATATACCCTGATTCAATTGTGGTAATATTTGTAATGCTCATTGTATCTGGAAGTGATGTAGAATATGGAACATATTACAAGTAGTACAGTGGACAGGCCCGAAGAAGCAGTCATTTTTTCAATTTTAGAGACTTATCAAGAGCTGCATTTTGTCAGGTGTCAAACAATGAAATTCAGTCATACACCTCACTCTCTCAGAGATTGTCTCTACAAGGGTTATATGATTTAATTAATGCTTATGAAAAACTTTTCTAAAAGCATGTTAATTAAAATGGTATGTGGCTTACAGTGCTCCTGTGATGGACCAGCATCTTCTATCATGAGTCCTTTAGCCCCTAAGAGTGGCAAGCTCCTAATTTCTCCCAACAATACCACCCCACTCTTGATTGTTAGACAAATTCTCCTTAGAAGTAACATAGGAAATGTACAGAGCCGGAACACTATGGGGAAATTGCAAACTAAAGTTACATGTCCAGGGCAAAGGGCTTATTATCTGCAAAAGTTGCTTTGTGCTACTCAGGTTGTCAGTGATGAACTTTCTTGCAAACACTCAGAAAATGTAGCAGAATCTTCTCTCTTGATTCCCTAGCAAATGTTTTGTCATGAGACAATTCTCATTTTGTTAGGCATTTTCTAAGAAAGAAATGATTAAAACATCAATACAAGTGGTTGAAATTGAAGACGAATGAAATAAAATTAATTTTTTTAACAGGATGGAGCTCATGGAGCACCTGTTCACAGCAGTGCCACATTGGAACCCAAACAAGGACACGTACCGTCACAACTGCTGCTAGCTGGGGAGGCACATGTTATCATTTGTCTGAACAAAGACCATGTGGTATAATCAATGGAGGATGTGATCATTATTGTAACAATGGGTTCTGCTCTTGTCAATCCGGCTACACAAAATCAGGTACAGACTCAAATTTTTGCCTTTGTTTTTCCCCAGCTTATTTAAATTGTGTCTTCATGCACTTGTGCATTAAGTGGACTTAATGCATTATAGTGAGAATTAGTAAGGCTTGTATTGTCTGCTGAAGTAGACTTCACAGTTAACAAATTAAGGTGTTGTTAAGAGGATGTGATCCCCATTGAAAGAAGTCCTTGATCATTAAGTAAATTCTTATTGTCAGTACCTTACAGAAAATGTAGCAAACACAAAGTACCAGATGCAGAGAACAGTATGGAGAATATGCATACTCATGTCAGGGTGTGAAGGGCTAAGCACAAAGAAGTAAATGACAAAAATTTGTTGTTGATTCCTTAAACATACCTATGTTATTAGTTTTTACATTTTTTTTTC